TCGATTCTCTTTGCTTTCGTCGTAGAGACGGCCAACCATAGACTAGCACCAAGCAGTAAAGACCCCCTCCCTTACACCCAAATTGTCACCCTCGATCAGCCCGGGTTCCAAACACGTGGTCCATCCGGCACAAGCTCCATGGCACTTGGCGGTTCAGCGCCCCTAGTGTCCATATATGGACAAAACAACATCTGCGAATTCTGCATCAACTTCGCAGACGAGCTTCTGCAATCTTACATCCTGCGGAACACGTTCGAAGACTCTGTGGGGTACAACGCGGCAATTACAAGCGATGGGGTTGCCCTTCCTTCGATTGTGACAATGGATAATGGGGCCTGCATTGAATTCTTGCGTGGTGCGCAACTGAACGAGCGGTCGCAACGTAAACCGAATGGGTTGCTCGGGATCTTTAATAAGGGCAGCTCGGCGTTCAAGTCTGGAAAGGGCGGTGATCATCGTGATGAGGATATGCTCCAGGAGCTTGTTACCAAGTTTGGCGTCCATGCTTCGTTCGTCGCCAACCCTGGACATGCGTCCGAAAAGACTCTTTTCGGGATCAACCACTACTCCGGACCCGTATCATACGACGTAACAAAGTTCGTGGAGAGGGACAGCGACCTTCTTGACTCGGCCTTTGTCACGCTCCTGCGCAACTCTACCGATCCTTTTGTTGCGAAGCTTCTTTCCGGGCCCAGCCTTGCCGCTGAGCGTCACAGCAAGGACGAGACCATCATCGTGCAATCACAAGTCTCGTCACGCCCGCTGCGACACGCGACACCCATCCCCCTTCCCAATGGCGACCTCCCCGAGGAACATCCCCATCTCGACCCGAGCAAGACATACCCCGTCACCTCTCAACTCAACTTCACCATGTCCGAAATCTTCGCCAACCTGGACCGCACACACCTCTGGAACCTCGCCTGCATCCGGCCCAACGACTCGAGCTCACCAAATTCCTTCGACAAACGCCGCGTCAAGTCACAGATCCGCTCACTTCTTCTCCCAGACATCGCAGCGCGCCGCAGCACTGAGTATGTCGCGGACTACGACATCGTCACCTTCTGTGAGCGGTACGTACCCACCATGCGCGGGTCGGACGAGGAACGCCTCACGCAGTGTGCGCGTGCGAATGGGTGGTGCGAGGGCGTAGACTTTGCGCGGGGGAGCGGACGCGTGTGGCTGTCTTACCTCGCGTGGAAGATGGTTGAGGACACCGTGCGCGCGGTGGAGAAGGAGCAGAAGCGGTCACAGGACGACGAGGACGAGGGGAGCATGCTACCCGACGACGGGACAGAGTATACGCATCCTGAGCATGCTGCTGGGCTTGCGGTCCCTGGAATGTCCGGATCCTTCAATGAGAGCGCAGACAATCTGTTGCTGACGCGGATGGGCCCCGATGGGACGCGGTACCAGGATCCGAATGCGGAGTATGGTGGTGGAGGGCTGAATACGCCTGGCTATGATGCGCGTGGGTTTGGTGGTCGTGGTCGTGGTGTTGATGGGAGTGGGGAAGGGTGGGACGAGGACAGTAAGGGTGCGCGGCCGTATTCTCCAATTGTGAGCAAGGCGGAGGGGAGCCTCGTTGTGAAGGACGCGCCAAACACGGTGGAGCAGATTCCGACGAGTACATTGCGAAGGTGGTGGTTGAGGCTTGTGTGGTTGTGCACATGGTTGATACCCAGCTTTGCGCTGAAATACTTGGGCCGCATGAAACGCAACGATGTCCAGATTGCATGGAGAGAAAAAGTCGCCATATGTTGGCTCATCTTGCTTCTGAACGGCATGGTCTGCTTCTATATCATTGAGTTCGGTCGCTTGCTCTGTCCCAACTTTGACAAAGCCTGGTCGCTCAATGAGGTTGCGCAACATCAGGGTCAAGACGACTATTGGGTGACGATTCAGGGTGTCGTATATGACGTGTCGGACTTTGTGTTTGGGGACCACAGCGA